TCCACACACGATCTGACATCATCATGTTCCTTCTGATCTCTCTTAGTTCCTTACAGTGATCATCCGGCATATGCATCAGGGTTCTGGACTGGGTGGAGTGTACTAGCAAATCTCCAACAAGCAGCAGCTTAGCATGAAGGGTTCGGGAGTTCTGACAGCAAAAGCCGAACCCCCTTTGAGTCCGACCCTTCCGAGATATTGTATGAGCACGAGAGTGACCTTACGCTGGGAACCGCCGCCCAGTAATACTAGGGTCACTGAAGAAGATCAGCATCTACAGCGCAATGGCGACGCGTTCAATTTGAAAGTAAAGCAAGACAAAGTCTGCTTTTTTCCTGAGGTCGTTCGACCCCACCTTGCAGAGAATATTCATAAAAAATTGGAGACTTCCAGGCTAGCACTTCTTTCACCTCCTATATGTGGCCCTATCCTCGTGTCAACAAAAGACAACTCAGTCTGACCTCTAGCGCTCTTCTCCAGGAAGAAACTTTACGCTAAGTGACATGACCTCAAACTCGACTTCCGATCTTTCTTCGATCAATAGCTCCTGGAATTCTAGAGATAAGACAGCAACTAAATTTCCTTGTTTAGGCAATACATTGTAGATGACAGAGATGTATGTTTGGATGAGCAAAGACTCCACATAAAAAAGAAAAAAATTGAATTCAAAAATACCCAAAGTGATTCACTAATTATGGGACAACCTAATATAATTTCAATGCTGGATTAGGAATGTGCTTTTTTCTAAAAATATTTTTTAATACTTAAGTATGATACTTCAGCTACTGATAAGCTCAGAAATTTTGGGCGTATTAGGGTGCTAAGAGGAGCGAGGGCCCATGCTACACACACAATTTCACCAGTTTTCTCTTCTTTTCCGACCTCAAACGCCTTGGCATTTCAAGCGCTTCGGCGAAGGTCACAGACGTAAAAGTGATGGACAGAATTTCTACGACGTACACGTCGCGCTGGATCAGCACTTAAGTGGTCAATTACTCCGGTTCTAACCTTCTCTTATCGAATGGCAATTCAAATGATCGACGATTCCGCAAAATATGTAGGTTGGGTGGTTTAGTAGCCATATCGATACTTACGGTAGCCTCAGGTTGGCCTTATAATAGGCCTGATGCTAGTGAAATGTACTACTTCGCACGATTCCTTTTATTTCGCTATAGAACGATTTTGGCCGAGATCCAAAAACTGCTTTTTATCGAATTGCTCCAGAACTCAGGTTGCAATACGACCGATTTTCATCACTGAAAGTCTTTCTAGGAAGGATTTGGCACACCGCGAAAAAAAAGAAAAAAATCTATAGGAATAAAAATTAGAGCAAGGAAGCGGAAAACTGCTAAGAATTCGACAGAGTTCATTTTCGGCCATCTCCGAGTGAAGCTTGTCAATTTAAAAATTTTCAGCTTGAGTATCCCGAAAGAAATGTTAGCTCGGGACGAAATCTCAACAGTTTTTTAGAAACTGCACTACTTCATTTCCCGGAGCAGCAAAATAAATAGTTACAATAATCCAGTAAGTATATCAATAATAGAATAAGTCGATAACCTAACTGGGTCGTCTTTGAAAATTGCACCCGAAAGCGCAAAGTTCCATGCAATAAGGTCACAAGGAATTAAAAGCAATTTCTATGCGAAGGAGCGTGAGATCAGGGTTAAAACTAGGGGGTCGTCCAGATTGTGGGAAAGGGTTGTGAGCCCTATAAGGGTACGGCAAGGAAAACACAGCCTGATGAATAGGGAGGACAGAGTAAGGGAAGAGAGGGGAGGGACGAATGGACAATAGAGCGGTGGGCGCTGGCTGGTTGGCTGGCTCTGGCGGCGGCCGTAGTAGCTGCTGGAGGACGGGCTGTGGTGGTCTGGCCCACCCTAGACGTATTGATCGTCGGCCTCATACCCGAAAAAGCACCATAACCCTGTGCAGACGGTCCGACGTAACGACCACTTGGAACACCTGTTGACATGTCCGTGGGATGCTGTAAGATGTGATCTATGAGCTCTCTGGGCCCAGAGTTAATTACAAAGGGACCACTAACCTCCTCACCGCACGATACTTCCTCGTTGAAGTCTAATCAATAAGGATGGAGCACTGATTAGGACGAAATAAAGGGATATCTGATGTGTGATTTTTCAAGCGCTAAAATAGTCAGGAGAGCCTATTTTGAGTTCTCGTCCACTTCGACTGACTTCACTGTTGCACGGTCTCACCCATAAGGCATTCATCAGCGAGCTCATGCAGCTAACTGTAGGCTCACTCAATATAATAGTTTTCTGGGAATTTCACCTTATCAAATTTATACTTACTGTTCAGTCAAGTCTTTATTTATTTTTTACTACTAAATGTGGTCAAAAAGGGTTGCATGGAAAATCTGCAAGCACTGCCAACGAGCGTCAATAGCGTATTATTCATCGACTTTGCGGACTAGAAAGAGTGAGAGGGCGCAATAGCATACATTATACGAAGTTATACGAATAATTTATCCATTTTCTGGAAGCCGATCTTTCTAGCTGACAGTTCAGCGCAGTAAAAAGCACTTTTGGAACGCGCTATGCACTTGACCACGCGCTAATTGCACATTGATATATAGGATAGTTCATACCCCAGTCTCTGAGATGGCGTATCTGCAGACCACTTAGGACGGTCTACCTATGTGAAACGGCTAACTATGCAATACGCATAACCAGCAGAGTTATTGTCGCTTCGACAGACTAACCAGTTCACAAAGAAACCTATGTGGATCAAATGGTACGGAAAAACAGAAAACAAAAAACAGCTGAATATAGCCTTACAACAACTATTGGGCGGTCCACTCAACAAGTTCGTTGAGCCTCCTCGCAGGGATATGAAGTAGGTTCGACCACTTACAAGGTCTTTCAGAAAATGCCCAGCTTTCCTTGAACGATTTTTCGCATGATTATAGGGGTACGTGCCGGAACACAAAGTTGTGATACACGCAATTCTTCTTTAGAGGCCCTCTAAGTGCTAAAAAAAGGGAGAGGAAGTGGTCTGTGGTTCGAATCCTCCCAGTGACTTTTTTTTTGCTTTTTGTGTTGCTGGTTCAAAATTCGCGAAAAATAGCACCAGCGTGAACAACTCATGTCATGTCTAAAATGAGGACCATCAACACCCATTATACATAGACTTTAGCAAAAAACTGGTGAAGCAAGTTTAGCAGTTCCTCAGAAAAATTTTCGTTCCTTTTTCGGTATTAAGAGGGTCGCTCGAGAGAAATGAACACACTCCTGTTTCATCATACACTCGCCTCTACACTATGCGAAAAACCGTTTCGAGAAAGCTGAGCATTTTCTGGAAAACCATCCTTGTAAGTAGTCGAACTTACTGTAACCTAGGTTGTCTGTTATCAGTTGAAGACGAAGAAATGCTTCCGCATACTAAAGGGGTTTATTTTTTTATTTACTATTGGGGGTTGCTGAACCGCCTATTCACCGAGTCGGCGAAAATGCAAGCAGGGCAGAAAAATTTGATTCGCTACAAATTGCCAAATTCCGAATCACCCAATCTCCAGATCTCCGAACATCTCCACTGACTGTTTTAGACTGCTCAATTCTGTCGATAAGTTTTAATGTTATACCATCTCCGTTTTCTCTTTCGTACAAAGGAATGCTCTCAACCTGGTGCACTAAGGTAGATTTAGTTTCGTTTATCGATATGTGTTACTAAGGCCCTACTTATTGGAAAGTGTTAGCGCACCTACGCGTGCATCGAATAAATAAATAAATAAATCTCCCAAAGTCCCCTGGAGCTATGAACGCCACCTTAGGCCGATGTCAGACTTTGCGAATCGCGCGATTCGCTAGCGTCTGCGGTCGCGTCGCGGCCAGTGAATCACTCAATTGGCTGGTACCGCAACGCGACCGCGGACGCTAGCGAATCGCGCGATTCGCAAAGTCTGACATCGGCCTTAGCGAACACGCGAATACTGATGCGACCATCAAGCATGGCTGCAGAATTGACAGCTCTATGATGACTTTTTAAAAGTGGCGCTATCGCAATGTACGGGGCATCCTTTAGGGACACAGCCTAGAAGGAGGCAGGAGCTCAGGGAAGAATGAAAATGCTTACCTCCTTGGAGTCTCTCCTCCCCGCCTAAGGCTTAGTCCCGTTTTCAACAAAAAAGACATGTTTTACGCGGTTTCAAATGCACTGCTGTCATAATGCCCCCGTATATTGCGATAGCGCCTAAATGTGAAGTAACGAAACTTACAAACACACACCCAAATGGCAGGATTTTTTCATTGCAAGTAAGGCAAAAGGTAGCAGCATTCAGCACAGCCCATAATTTCGAAAATGATTGGAACAAATCACAGGAGGAATCAATAGATATTATTTCCACACAGGTTTTATCAAGAACTATTAGAAAATTTTACTTAAATTCGCATCTTATCAAGATCTCTTCATCATAAGGTTAGCCATGTAAAGACATAGACAATGAAAGATACAAATTACATGGAACGGTTAGAAAGCGAAAGAAAATCGATTCGGCACTATAATACTTATGCATGCATTTCTATGGCTTCATTTCGTAATTAAATAAAGGAATTTCAAAAACACGTAACGAGTGGAATAGAAGGCATGGGTCACACGGAATAGACCAGTTAAAGGCTAAAATCTCATTGAATAAATTCTCAATTCACAGTTTTGCCAGTTGCGTAAATGGTCGACAACTGCTGCGAGCGGTCGCGAGGCAGCTCGAACTTATTCCAGATGGAAACAGTAAGCACGCCCAGAAAATACAATAAACCGAATAGACGCACTGAATCGATCACACATCAACCTTCAATTTCAAGCCCTTAGGTTAGTTCTTGCCACACAACTGACACTTAATAGATAAGTAGTTCCGAATAAGCTATAAAAAGGCGAACACAAGCTCCACTAAACCCTTAAATAACTCCTCTGACCCTGGGGTTAAGGCGTACTACAACTGACCCGTAAAAATGACGTTGTTTTTATTACGTTAAAAGATTAAGGTACTAGCGAGCTCCAAGCAGAGTATCCAGAGCCTTCACACGATCGCCTTGACTGCTTAGTAATGCCGAGAAGACTTCGTCCGCACTGAAACCCATTCCAAGCAGTTGATCAGCCGTCTGCGCACGTTGCACCACTGCCTGTAAATTCATTTGTATTAAAAAGTATATTTAACTTGGCTCTGGGACGTAATTTAATGTTCGACATCACAGAAATCACTGATTCACGCAATACTAATAAATTATCTCGCTTCCTCCGTGAACCTGCACTGCTTTTTATTGCCCTACCAATAAATCTGGGCGCACTTCTGGAATTACACAAGGACCAACGCAAGCAGAAAAAAGCCCACTTAACCTGTTCTGTTTGTTCTATGTGTTAGAAAAACCGCTATTTAGCGCAATTGGAATGCGTTCAGCTGTATGACCATAACTACGTCGAAATTTCATACCAGACAGGACTGTATTGATAACTGGACTACCGCAATTCAAAACAATCACAAATCAAACCTTTTTTCTCGCTAACAAAACCAAGAATTCAGTACTGGAGGCGGCTAAAAGAACGTCAAAGCACTAATTCTTTCAAGTGAGC